GTGGGGCTCGGCGTGGCCACTGTCAAGGCCAACATCACGCCCTTCGGCGCGGACCAGGTGAGCCTCGCGCCATCCTGCCCCGCCAGGGTAGGGACCCGCCCCGTACTGCTTTCCTCCAGCGGGGAGGGAGTCCGAGCACGGAGGACAGAGCAGTGGCCAGGTGCGGGCCAGCCTGGTGGGCGCTGCCTGTGGAACGGCGGGGCCACCTCCTCTCCGAGGGGCCACGTGACGAAGAACCCGAAGGTGGCAAACACAAAGTAGAGTGGTGGGATCTTTTGGTCAGGGCGAGCTGCAGGTGCAAAGGCCCTGGGGCCAGGAAGCCCAGCGTCCCCTGTGATGGCTGTAGCTTCAATTCCAAAGATGAAGGAGGGGGCCGATCTGGGCCGCTCTTGATTTAAAGGGGTTTTGGGGTGGAGTTAGGAAAGATCAGACAAAAAGGAGTTGAATCCAGTTAGCATCAAGCTGCATGCACTTCACTTAGGCTGCCATAAACACTAAGAGAGGAGTCGCCCCACATCTGCGAGGGGAGAGGAAGTGAAAGTGTTGTCTGCTGGAGAGAGCTTTTAGGAGCGGTGACACAGTCAAATCATGTCAGAAAATTTAAGAAAAAGAAAAAAATAAGCAGAAGTGGGAAGAGAGGTGGTAGGCAGGGCCAGGTCATGTGAGCGTGCGTGCTGAGTGCAGCAGGAAGCCTTCCCAGGTTTTGAGCCGGGGCGGAATGTGCTCTGGGCTGGGGGTAGGGCGTGCTTGGCAGGCCTGCCTGGCAACCGCGCCTGGGTGCCCGGTCAGGTCTTCTTCCTATTTTTTGAGGCTCCACAAACTAAGAATGGTTCTTATTTTTTTAACGGTTAGAAACAAGTAGGGTAAGTTGTGACAAGTGACAATTACATGAAATTCCAGAAAAGTGACATCAAATTTCCGTCTCCACGAGCAAAGCAAAACGTTGGACTACAGCCCCACCCATCCCTGCCCACGTGTGCAGGGCCACTCACCAGAGAGCGGCGGAACTGGGGATGTGGGACAGACACCAGATGTCTCATAAGCTCTGAAATGTTAGCTGCCTGCCCTTCGCAGCGTGCGCCTGTGGGAAGCGGTGGCAGCAGGGGCACCAGGCGGGAGTCTTTCACAGCTGGCCAGGGAGAGTGCTGCGGGCTGCAGCGGAGGCTGGACAGCGGGTGGTAGCCTGCATCTCCTGGGGCCCGCCGTGCACCTGCTCTGCACCAAGAACGTTGTCCCGGTGTTGCCGCTGCTGTCACTGCCCTGCCCGGAGCTAAGGAAACCGAGGCTCGAGCACCTAAGTCATTTGCCCAGCTACACAGCTAGCACGTGGCTGAGCCAGATGCAGAAGCCTGGCCTTGGATTCCGGGCTTTATCCGCCTGCGTGAGGCTCTGCGTTACAGCCAGCCGATACACGGCATGCTGTCGGTGTGCCAACCGTGCGACTCTGAGTAGAGACACTGCATCCTCTCGAGGGTACAGTTTACACTTGGGGGTTGCACCTTGAATGGAAAACCATTTGGGGGTAAAGTGGTTCCCTTAACGCCAGGGTGTAGCTTGGAGCTGGCGATGGCTGGTCCCAGGGTCACCAAGGCTGGCCCGTCCGTGCGGTGCACTGGTTCCTGGAGAGGGCCCTGGCTCTGAGCCTGAGGGCTCTGCTCCCTCTGGGTGAGTTTAGTTGGTCTCGCTCTGTCCTAGCCTGTGCAGAGGAAATCCATAGTGTTTCAGGTACTTCTGGAGTTTCTCTATTGCTCACCTCTTCCCCTCGGACACGGACCTTGAGGAGACGCTGGGATTTAGAGATGAGTGGGGTCCATTGGGCCAGGTCACTTTGAGAACAGGCGTTGGCTGGTGTTTCAGAGGCAGTGAGCCCGGAGTCCAAGGGAGTGTCTCGACAGCAATCATGGCCCATGTTCCCCGTGCCCTGTGCTTACTCTCTATCAGACATCCTGTGCGTCGTTGATGGGGACTGACTATTTGGGTTGTTTGTTTGGGTTTTTTTTTTGGGGGGGGAGGGGTCTTTGCCCTAGGGCGTGTGTGCTCTCCAGAAAGACAGAGACAGAAAGACAGAAAGCGAGAAATCACCCCCCAGGGGGGACGGCCACGCTGCAGTCCCTTCTCCTCCATTCTCCTCTTGGGATCTTGGGCACGCATGCACACGCGCCCAGCGTGAGTTTTAAGCCACCGGGTCCGAGACGCGAACTGCGGTTGACTATGTGGGAGTCCAGCGACATAGCCATTACGCTAACTGCTGGCTCCAGGGAATAGTGACCTGAAAGGAGGAGAGCGAATGGTGCCATTGTTTTCTAAAAGCAGCAAACCACTCTCTAGTGTATCTCAAGGAGTGTTTGGAATCACCCGGCCTGTTGTACGCGTTCCTGTTCTTTGGGTGGTGTCGTTGACAGTCAGGTGGGAAGCTTGTTGACGGGGTGGCCAGCGGCAGCTGTGCACATGCTGATGTCACGCGCTGGCCGAGAGGAGGGAGCCTCGCCACCGCCATCCCAGGCAGGGAGTCATGTGAAGGGGTATAGCAGCAGCTCTGCTGGCAGCTCACTGGCTGGTGTGCGACTGCAGGGCCTCAGTGACAGTCTCTGGTTTATAGATAGTTCTGGAAGTCAACATAGAGGCAGTGAGGACAGATGGCCGGAATGCTGGGTGTTGGCGCAGCTGCTGTGGGAAAATGGGTCTGGAATGGGAGATGGTTGTAGTGCCTGAGGGTGGGGGTGTGTCCCTGGCCTCTTCCCTTGGACCTTGTCTGACAGTTGCCTTTGATTTCTTCCTGTCCCTGCAGTTGTTTTCTGTGTAGCCTATTTCTTCTCACAGGGCACCTGCTGTTCAGGAACATCTAAGTGCACGTGTCCCAGGAAGAGTCTCTCCGACTTAGTCATTTTCCTGTGAAGAGTGTGTTCAGAGGCTGCTGGGCCCTGTTTCCAATGGTGTGCCCAGGAGAAAAGCTTGCGTTCTAGAGAACGTGGCTGGAAACCCAGCTTGTCCCTGAGAGTGGTCGAGCCTGCGATCACTCAGGCTTACCCTGCCCACACAGTGGCCGCGCTTACTCGTTTGGACTTGAAACACCCCGTGGAGGAGCACGCAGCTCCGGCTACGGATTGTACACTGGACTTGGTTCTTAAAAAGTAGGACTAAAGGGCCGGCAGGTGGTGTGCTGGACTTCCACATGACCACCTGCAGTTCGAGTCCTGGACCCTGCAGCTTGAAACTCAGGCCAGATGCATGTGTGTGCGTGCCCACAGCCCCAGAAGGAGAATGGGAGAGAAGGTATTGAGGAATGGCCACCCCCGGGGGAATTTCTCTCGTTCGCTCTGCCCAG